CACATTTGGAGAGCGAGTCAGTAAAATTCCACTGATTCACCACAGGGCCAGTTATTTTTACCGCTCTGCTTACCCGTAAGTAGAAGGGCATCTTATATGTAGGCCAGCAGATCTCTGCTGTGAGCACCTACTCACCTCTCACAGCAGACGAGAACAGAGAAGAAGGGGCAAGAGCGGCAGGAAAAGCCTCCCTGCCAGCTTAAGCATTCAGACACACACGCTGGAGGCGGCCCAGCGGCACTGCAGTGAGATCAGACGGGGCAGAAAGCAGTCAAAGCCAACCGGGGCGTGGGGTAGTTCTTTTACACATGAGCACAGGCCCGATGCTGCCATATGGACCAGGGTTTCTTCTAAGGTTCCCTGTCCCGCATGAGAAACCGCTCTGCGTCTCAGTCCAGCCCCATCTAGTGGAAAGAGAGCCTTAAGCCAGGCTGTACGGCCCGGCAGGAAGACGCCGTGCTGCCGCTGCAGGCAGGGGCGAGGACAGATGCCAGGCCCCGGCACGGGGACAAGGGTCTAAACGAGCACTTACCCCCGTGGCTCCCTTCTGAGTATGTCATGCTGCACCCTTTTAGACACCAAGGAGCACGGTTAAGAATTCTCCACAACACCAACCTTGCATTTCCCAGAAAGTCAACACGGATACAAAGGTGAGCGTGTGAAGGCACATAGGAAAGAGAATCCGGGGGCCCTCCTGAGAGACTCAGGCAAAGCCCAAGCTGGGACTAAATCCCAGGCCTTCTCAGACCTTCCCCACCCCACCCCCTCCACCTAGCTCCTAATCATGCTCCCGCCAGGGGGTTCTAGACACTGCCTGGTGAAACAGGGCTGGGGGGCCAGGGGGCTGGGGGCTGGGGCTGCAAGCAGCCATCTAGAGAGCTGGTCCAGGAGACCCAAATTCCCCAGCCATCCCACGCGGGCACAAACAGCGACAGGGCGTCTGGTCAGCGCCTCTCTGTTCCTAATTTCACATCACCGGGGGACAAAAATGACGTGTCCAACTCCACTGACCCTCAGAGATGATGAGTTTTTTTAAAACTAAGTTCCTATGGATCAGCCTGGGGAACTTAACCATCAAGTTGTTCCAGTGGGAAAATAGGTCCCCAGCTATAAACAATAAACTTACAAATCCCTGGAATGTAACCTGCTTCCAAGTCAGAACTAAGTTAATATTTGGAATACAATGATTACATTTTGGGGGCCATAAACTGGTAGTATACTTGATATCATAATAAACACTGGCTACCACCTCTTCCTTTTGGAAAACTTCCCAAATAACCTAAAGAACCCCTACCTCTCCCACCTAAGTACGCTCTCATTCTTCTTTCAGGCCTACTGGGCACATGTGCAGTAGGGGTGCGGATTTGGGGGAAGGAGGTGAGGATGGGAGGCTCAACATGAGGGAAGTTAACTGGAAGAGGGACGGCTGGCAGTCAGCCTGGCTGGGGGGACCCTTCCATGCTGGGCCCCTGCCCTGACGCACCCTTAGCTGGAGCCCAGGTTAGCAATAGGCAGGCAAGTCCTCAATTCAACTGAAAACTCCCTGAGATGAGGAACCACGACGATCAAAAGAACCATCTTGAGACCTAGGAAGACCACTAGGATGTATCACTTCTTCCCACAAAATATAAAGGCAACAAGCCCTAAGACCCACAACACCGCAACACAACGTGGATTCTGGGGGGCATCAGGCTCACTCATCAACTGGCCAAAAACCTGGCTCTCACACATCAACTTCAGGATTCAAATCAGCATGTGCGCGCTCAGTCGTGTCTGACTCTTTGTGACCCCATGGACTGCAGCCCGTCAGGCTCCTCTCTCCATGCGATTTCCTAAGCAAGAATGCTGGAGTCAGTTGCCATGTCCTCCTGCAGGGGATCTTCCCAACCCAGGGATCAAAACTGTATCTCCTGCATCTCCTGCACTGGCAGGCAGATTCTTTACCACTGAGCCACAGGGACCCACAAAAATTACAGATACATTTCAGATACAGATACAGGCCTCCGGGGTTGTTTGAAGAGACAAAAACTTGTGAACACTGATACATGTGTAACGGACAAGTCCACTCTGTTTGTTCGCAAGCACTTCACCAACGCGAGCCGTGAGCACACCTCACACACCCTGAACACAGTCTGCTAAGCACCCGTCTGTAACGCCGCCTCTGGCTATGCCAGTGCACAGAATGAACTCTCCGAGTGAACACCATGCCCACTGCAAGTGCCGCTGGGGTCAAAGACGACGGCAGGACTGGCTGCAGTGAACAGCGCACCAGACCGCAATGACGCTCCCCACCACAGACAGCTGGTGTCACTCAATTCTACATCTCCAACCCACGGACTCCAGACTACAGGAGCCTCCCATCTCATGTCCAAGAGCCACTGTGAAGAGTATCAGTGAGTGTTAAAAAAACGAAAGAAACGTGGTCAAGTAAAATTGACAAATGGAGGCATCTTACAAAGGGGATTCTCACCATTTATACACTAAGGTATGTTGTCAAGCTCTGGAAGGATTAGATCATGAAAGGTTTCCCGTCTTTTTAAACAAACAAACCTAGTAACATGTGGAATCTTAGTTCCCCGACCAGGGATCAAACCCTCACCCCCTGCACTAGAGGCACAGTCTTGACCACTGGACCAGCAGCGCAGTCCCCGCCTCCCCCACCCCCTTTCTGTAAGGCTTCCCACGTCTGACTGATCACACACGGCCTCCACTTTTGGTGGCACACATCTCTATCACTAGAGTTTCAGAGACCACACTTTGGAAAACATTACCTCAAACAAACAAATCCCACATACTGCTTTATCCTCAGCAAAGCAAGCTTAAAGACACGAACAGCCCCCTCCCCCTGCCCAGGGCTGGGAAACAGCTTTCTGTGGTGATGTGAAACAGACACAGTCTGATACACTTTCAGCATGTTACTTCTCCTTTCCTGAGGAGTTTGAAAGTAAAAACAAACAAACAAACTCCGGCCCCCCTCCAGAAATAAAGTCCTTAAATGTAAATGAAGCACGTGACTCCGCAGAGTCCTCGGTGGGCGCAGGCTCCGTGACAGAGACCCAGGATGTGGAGCCGGTGTTGTCAGCAGCTCTGGCTTAGTTTCAGATGAGCTCTTTCCAGAGCTGAACTTATTCTACCAATGAGGAAGACAGAGAGCTACCTACCCCAGCACGGCACACAGAGGCCCAGAAACTCAGTAGTGAGTCAGCGCTGTGGTTCTCAGAGCGTGCTCCACGGCACCCTGAGAAGCGAATTCTAGGATGCTGGCTGCACCAGACCTCGACACGGTCAGAGTCCTCCACGTGGAAAGGGGTCTGTGCTGTGCTTAGCTGCTCGGTCGTGCCAGACTCTTGGTGGCCCCATGGCTCTAGTCCGCCAGGCTCCTCTGTCCATGGGCACTCTCCAGGCAGGGCTGCCATGCCGTCCTCAGCAGGGTGAGAACCCTGCGCGTGGAAGGGGGTTCTGTGCTGTGCTTAGCTGCTCGGTCATGCCAGACTCTTGGTGGCCCCATGGCTCTAGTCCGCCGGGCTCCTCTGTCCATGGGCACTCTCCAGGCAGGGCTGCCATGCCGTCCTCAGCAGGGTGAGAACCCTGTGCGTGGAAAGGTGTGGGAGGAAAGCACTCCAACAGCACTCTGCACCAAGTACTAAGGAGGAAACTGCCTCCTCTCCCTGGGCAGCACCTCTCACCACAGAACCTCGCTAATGAGTCTTGGCCAAGTTTTATCAGCTTCTCTTAAAAAAAGGGTGGGGGGCAGTTGGCAAAAGGATTCATAGCCTGGCTATTAAGGCCAAACTCCTTTTCAGTTAAGCTAAACAAAAAATTCACACACACAGTGTCCATCACTCACTGCTGTTATGATGGTGGAGAGGAATAAGCCACCGTGCATTTCCTGTTGCCTAGCAACAGCTCAGGCACACTTCCAGAGGTGTTCTCCAGAAGCTGAACACTAGCACAGAACAAGGGGAAGCAGTCAAAAGGTGGCACGTGCCGTCCATGCCAATCTTGGCAGGAGGTGTGCAGGCAAGGAGGCACAGCCGGGGTGAGGTGAGACGCCGCCCGGGCCCGTCACATGCATCGCACCTGCACAAGGCCACGTGCCCGCGCAACGCAAAGCGGTGTCATACGGCACGCAGCGCTGTCCACAGAGCGCATCTTTCGAGGCCATCCCGTTCCACCCCTGTGGCAACATGGATGGGAGAACAACCACCTGGATTCCTTCCAGAGAAGCTGAGTGACCTGGTCCAGGCCACACAGCTAGGAGAGCCAGAATCAAGTCTAGTCCTGGGCTTTCCCAGCAAAGCTAAAAACTGATTCCCGTGTCTCCACCAACCTATTTCTACAAAACGCAACAATGTAAGATTCTTCCTTCAAACCAGAAACCCTAGAGAGGTGTTAAACCAACCCAACAAGCAAACTGCCCTCTGAGAATTTCTGCAAAGATAGTTACTGCTATAAAATCGAACCCTTGACATGTTTGAGGAACTTGCTATATACTACATGAAAAAAAAAATCCCATTACAAAATATTGTGATTAAAATTGGCTGGAGTAGGTAAAACCATTCTTCTATTGGGGATTTTAAGTTCTGGTTATATACATTGGTATGAAGAAGTGCATCTTGCTTCCTACCTGCAATCTTTGTAATTGCAAAGGAAGTGCTGAGTAGGTGGACAGCACATCACTCAATGAGGTGTTTTAAAGGCAAATGTTAAAGAACTGTCAGGGGAAGACAGTGCTTACGCTGACAAGAAAGGGTTCCCACAATCAAAGGCTTATGAATGTGTTTCCACTGGCATGCCTCCTTCGGGGCTCTGGTTAGTTCACTGTGGGTGAGCATACATGCATCCCATTTGCAACAGAACACTGCTGGGGTCCACCACCCGCACGCCACCCAGCACAACGGGGTGGGGCTGTGAGCATCTGGCCACCTCTGAGATGCGCTCCACAATGCTTCCGATGGAGCCCATCAGAGGCACGGGTCCCAGACCTGCGGAGGACTTACCCTCCCCTGGTGTGCCGCTGACTGTGGGCCGACATCTTGTAGGGAAGCGCACGCTCGCCCAGGTTCTCCAAGCTCCTCACCACTGCCCCTCTGTCCATCAGGGCTTCCAGCGTCCGCTTCAAGGCCGCAGCAGTCTCAGGCTGGGTTTTGTTTTGGTTTTTAAAAAGAAGAAGAAAAAAAAAAATAGACACACATGAGAATCAGTGTAAGAAGCAGAATGATTAAAGTCTGGTCAGTTCCGATCGTAACAGCTCTATTGGAAGGGATCTTTGGGTAAAATTAACAGAAACTATTTTTGGCTAACTTAAAGTTTAAAAAAAAAAGAGAGAGAAAGAAAGACACATTTATTGTAAGGATACAAATAGCTCACAGATATGGAGGAAAATCTGGAGAGGCAGGCCTCGGAGAGTTCAGGGACCACAGCAGCTCCAGGGGTCTGGGAGGCAGGGACTAACCAGTGGCTTCTTCAGAGCACCTTGGCCAGGGTGAGTCAGCACCAGTCACTGCCAGTCCTTGCAGCCCAGGACTCAACATTCAAACTCCAGGGAAAGGGCATCCTCTCGGCAGGACGCTTGGAACGGCCATCCCACCAGAATCACAGACAGCCAGGGGGGAAAGGGGCTGTCTCCCAAAGAAAAAGTAAGAGACTGTAAACCAAAACGGGGAAAGGTGAGTAAGACCCAATCTCTGTCCGCACGGAGCTTACAATCTAATGAAGACATAAACACAAAAAAACCCACATTAAGAAGACCAGAGGGCAGGACACAGAAGTGACACAGGGACCAAAGAGCTTGTGAAAAGAGAAAGCACACGCAGCTGGAACAAGGGTTCCACGAAGGTAAGAGGTCTTGACGGGAGCCCTGAAAAACGACGACGGCAGACGCAAGCACACACCAAGCGGGCGCTGAGCAGAGGAGCAGCGATGGCAGGCGACAGCCAGGAGCCCGTCGGGGGAAGTCCAGGACAAGGCGGGGCTCAGAGAGGAAGACTGCAGTTTGGATCCAAGTACAGAAACAACTAATACCTGTTACTGAGACCCAAAACTGAAACGATAAGAAACTCCATCATCCAGAGATAAAAGACTTTCAACACTGTGGTGAATTTGTTTTCCAATATCTGTGCATATGTATATACCAAAAGCTTTTGAAAGAAGAGACACTTCACAGGGGTAAACTTAAGAAGACACAACTAAATAAATGAAGGTGGAAAATGGGGGAGAGACGAGGCCAAAGACAGGCCCCAAACATGGTAGCTGGGAGAACGGGGTCACTGTTAACAGCTAAGGGAACAGCTGACCTCTCAAGATGTAAGCATTCAGCTGAAAACAACAGGGCTGGCTAGGATTACACGTTTCACCATCATCGGCAGAGCGGGGCTACCTGAGACATGGGAGCAGAGAGGGCACAAGAGAGGGCATGGGGGGGGGGGCAGGAGAGACCAACAACAGAGCCTCAGGAAGCACAGACACGCGGCGGCTAAGACGAGGATTCCACGTGAGAGAAGCAAAGAGCAACAGGGAAACCAGACCGGCCTTGTCACAGAAACCAAGGGAACAGGCAGCTGCCAGAGAAACCGCATGGAGAAGAAGGAGAGGCCACAGTACGGGGACCACACGGGCATGCAGCAATCTTGCCAGAAGCTGCTCTGCCAAGGTAGAGACGTGATGGAAAGAGAAAGCACCAGAGTCTGAGAGGCAAGCAAATCTGAGCAGTGTTTGAGGAGAGAGAAAACAACAAGCAAGGCAGCAGTTAAAGGGAATGAACCAGACAAAGGATAACAAGATGGATGTTCTTACTCATTGCCAACACGATGTGCTGCATAACTGCTATATGACCTGGTCTAGTGTTCTACTGTTACATATATTTAATCTTCATCAGGACCAAAAAAAAAGGGGAGAAAGGAGGTTTACAGACTTGGCAATCGGGCCATTGAGAGATGTCCTGACTTGGAGACCATGTGGCCATTAACAACTGGAGAGCCTGATGCGAAGAAAAGGAACACTGAGAAAGCGGAGTCAGTGGAAAAAGGTCAGAGGACGAGGAGCACGAGTCAGACACGAGTGAAGGGATGCCAGCAAAGACAGTCTGAAACGCAGGAGCGAGCTTCAGAAAACGCTACCTTCCCACGGCTTGTTTTGGATCAAATGAAAAGAAAACTGCAGAAAAAGTTTAAAGTGTACATCCTAGTAATTGAAGAAAACCTACCACGCACCTGTGTAATTTCTTTCTGACAAATACTGCTAAAATGCTATGAATGCATTAAGTGTTAGTTCAAGGTTTAGAAATAAAATTTCTACTTGAATTTTATACTGTAGCCCACTAGGGATTTTTTTAAAAATTCCTACTAATGAAAATTATGTGTATTTACATATTTAACCAACCTTATGATAAACAAATTTCCTTGGAGGAAAAAAGGGGCCAAAATCTCCTTGTGTTAACACTGGGTAAAAATATATGGCACTTTCTCCATAGACATTTTTATATCACTCTAATCAAGTGAAGTCTAAATTCTTCTCACATTTCATTAGTTCACAGACATTTCCATGTGCTGCAGAAACCTCATATCGAACAGGAGGGTAATATTTCACTTCATTAAAAATGCTATTTCTTGACTTGGTATTGCATCAATTAACTTATGATAAGGTAGATGAACAGTCTATACAAATTAAGAATGGGTAAGGGAAACACACACACACTCTCTCTGACTAATTATAGTCTGCTGACTAGCTACTCAAATCATAAATTTTAATTCAGTTTTGCCTGATTAGAAAGGAATATATCTCAATGCCTCTTGCCTTGTTTAAACTCCGATTGAAGAGTTTACAGTATGAAACATGGAGCACCTCTTCTGAAGTAAGAGCTTGTAAAATCAAAGATTTTCTTCTGTCCAAAGAAGGGGAAAGGCTACCTAACAAGAATGCAGCTCAGGAAAACATCAAAACACCCTCTAACGTTGGCACATCAAGGTCAAATGGCCAAATGGCAGACTGTTTGGCCACATTTATTTCACTGTAATTCATGTTACCAAAAGTTAAAAAAAAAAAAAAAAAAGATGGAGGAGGGGTTAAAAGTCTTCCTGTTTGTGAAGAGAATTGCTCAACTTGTCCTATATACCGCGCCTCATCAACTTGAAGTCAACTGTCAGCAAACCAGAGCCTAAGGACTAAATCTCAGCACACTAGAATTGCAAATAAAGTTTTAGTGGCACACAGTCAGCTCAGGCATTTTAAACAGTGTCCATGGCTGCTTCCATGCTAAAAGCAGACTTGAAATTACAGCTGAGACTGTATGACCTGCAAAGTGGAAAGTAATCTGGCCGACCTCTGCTCTACAGTGTTACTGGGTTGAGGGGACGCGGGCAAGGCCTCAACCTCCTCTCCCTAAAATGTACGGCAGCCAATATGGTGAGCCTGGACCGCTGAGCTCCAGACCGTGGGTCCCCCAGGGGTGGGTCCTCAGCTGGACACACCGGGCACCAACGTGCTGAGGGACATCAGCCTCACCGCACAAAGCACGCCGGGATACAGACGGGATTCTGCAAAATCCACCACTCTCCACCCACCGGCTCCTTATCTAATCAACCCATGAACCCAGGCATCCAACTTTCCTCATTTGGTGAAACTCAGAAGCCTATTAAAATAAAAATGTTAGGCTTCTTTAAAAAAAAAATTCTGTTCAACAAAGCACAATGTTCAATTTGTTTAAAAAAAAAAAACAAAAACATATGGTCTACAGGAAGCACGGGACCTCGCTGGCGTAATTCTCGTTTACAGGCTTCTGAACCCTTTAGTTCCAACTATTCCAAGAGAGGTTGTGCGCGCGTGCTTTTTGCGTGCTTCTCTCACCCTATCTGAAAGCAGCTCCTTAAGACTTTCCTCCAACCCACCATATGTCAATGAAACACAGTTCTGTTATGGCACAGATTGGAAAGCCGAAAACGTTCACTTGAGAAAAAGAAAAAAATATGGAAAAGAAACAGTGAATGAATGTGAATGGGAACTAGAAAAACTGAATTCCAGTCATAGTTCCTTCACTAATGCTACACAACTCTGGATAAATTATTAGAATCTATCCATCTTAAAGCTGTGCCTCAGTTTCCTCAGGTGCTAACTTACTGGCTCTCAACGAATTTTCTGTCTCTGTTGAGTTTCACACAAACAATATTTATGCCTCAATTCTCAAAATATCCTGGGGGCACATAAAATTTTTTTTTTTTTTTTTTTAAACCAAGTCTTTTCTCTCAATGTTCCTCCTTCTGATATCCTTATCACCGCCCATCCCAATCCCGGACTTTTTATGTGGTTCTCCCTCTTGCCTGGAGAATCCCATGGAGAGAGGAGCCTGGCAGGCTACAGTCCACGGGGTAGCAGAGAGTCCGACACAACTGAACAACTATCACTCACTCCACTCACTGATTCAACACAGCAGTGTAAGACTCAGGAGAGCATGCACATTAGTCCATCCAGTACACGACTGTTACAACAGTCTGTATCGCTAGAACAGGCGCTAGAAATAGCTGTTAAACAAACTACCGTACCTCTTCCCAAAGGGGCCTCTTGCTTACCTACTCCCAGTTTTACCCCCAGGGACATTAAGTTTCCTCTTTGCTCTAATACAGTTTGAAGCCGCTTTTCACGTACAACATAGCTCACTATCAGGGTAATGACTGTAACACCAAAGCAATATTTCAGTGTAGGTGTTCTCTGTACCTGTTTCACGTACTGCCAAAATGCTGCTTACACTAAGACTACAGTTGAAAAGAATCCAGAATTCACTTAATAGAAGTGAAACTAAATAGATCATGTACTTCAGGAACAGGAATTCCTCACGTACACAATCGTAAATGTTAAACTCAGACTGTTGTAATAATCTGCTGCTAAGATATAGTATTATCCAAAAAATTTACACTAAACAATACTTTAAAAAGAAAGCTCATCCTAAAGAAAATTAAAACCTAATTAAGTTAAAACTTTGAACTACTGTTCATTACTGGAACTGCTGGTATTCAGGCTACTGAAGACGACGACTGAGGGAGAAGCCAGCAGCTAACTTCAAATGTTTACAGGGCTACTATGTAAAAGATAGGCACATTTTGATTGGACCCTAAGACTTAGACTGGAATCAAAAGATAAAAATTACAG